TGCTCTTCCGGCCCCCGTCCCCCCAGGGGGGCCCTCGCCTAGGGAGGGGCCCGCGTTCTACCATGAGGACGTGTCCACCCAGGGCGGAGCAGACTCGAGTCGCAGCAGTGTCTGGAGGGCGGGGTGTGTGGCAGAACGGCCAGTAAAAAACACGTCTTGCGAACTAGGGCGGCCCGGATTTCCCGAAGCCTTAGTCCCTGGTCTGCGGAGCCGGAACCCCGGGGTAACCGAGTGCGTGCCTGACCCCGGAGTCCGCTTCCTCCTGTCCGCACGGGGGCTGGTCTTCAGGCTCTCCCGGCCTGCCGCGCGATTCCGTTCAACAGGCAGCACAGCTCTCCGCCCCGTGTGGACGCCGGACGCGGGTGCAGGGAGGGCTCCCTGCCCCCCTCCCCGTGTTCTGGGAGGCCTGACGAGTTTCTCGTGTGTCCTGCAGCAGACAGACTGGACGGAGCCGTGGCTCGTGGGCCTGGCCGTCTTCCACGTGCTCTGCCTGCTGCTCACGTGTTTCTCGTCCCAGAGGTACAAGCTGCAGGTCGGGCACTTCCTGTGCCTGGGTGAGTAGAATCAGCAGTCCCGTGGCTCCGATGGCTGTGTGCGTGTTTTCTCTGTAGCCTCACCACGTGATGAGATTTTTAAGACCTCCCGGCCCTCCTGTCACGTGTCCTGCTCTGGCTTCAGGGCACACCCAGGTTCCACTCTTGGGCATTATGAAGTGTGTTTCGGATCCTGGATTTGAAGGGACTCTGGAGGAGCACCTGCTGTTCCCAAGAGGGTGCTGAACACCTGTTACACAAAGAACAGTTTGGTTTGGTGAAGCGCTCTGTACAAGGTGCTCTCCTCTGTGGGCTTCAGTGCACTGCCTGCTCTGTTCTGGGCATAAAATAACATGTCGCCCAAATCAGTTTTAAAGATTAAGACCTACAGGGATCCGAAGGGGAACCGAGATGGGTGGAGTCATTGAGAAAGGTTACACAGAGAAAATAAAATCATGGAAGGGGGTATAAAGAGTGATTAAAATTTCTTTTTCTTAGGTGAGATAAGGGACAGATGTCTGACCCAGGCACCCCATCAGAGCACAGGGGGTGTTGGGCAGAAAGAGTGGGTCAAGTGTCAGAGAAACCGCATTTCTGATGCAGAATAGTTGGCAGTATTCTCCCATAGGAAGGGTGGGCCAGGACCTCAGCGGCTGGACCAAGGCTGTTAATCTTGTGGACCTTGGGAAGACACTAAACTTTCGCTTGGTAGTTTAACAAAATGCAAAACCTAATCTGAAATGTGATTTTTCATTTGACCTTGAGCAAGGTGTGAGTTCCAAACAAGAGGTTACCTTAAGACAGGAGCGAGGCAGTCTGCGTCACAGGAACATGTATGGTCGGGGTGGATAGCACTTCATTTCTTCATGTGAGAGCCATAGTAAGGGACGCTGGGGCTGCAGGGGTGAGCAGAGCAGATGGCGCCTGAGCCTTATGGGATAGGTGGGGCTCCGCCTCCACTGAGCAACCACAGCCCTGCTGAGCACCAGGGCAGGAAGGCAGGAGCACTGTGAGACCCCGGAGGGGGCCTGCTGTGGGTCCCTGCCGGATCGTTTACACTGGGGTGGGAAGGATGGGCAGGAGCGAGTCAGGCAGCGATTGTGCAAGGGCGGAAGGGGCACTCCATGCCTGGGAACAGCATGTGCAAAGGCCCCGAGGCAGGAAGAAAGGTGACAGCCCCTCCCAGGAGCTGAGACTGGAACAGTCTTGTGAACCTGGGAGCTCCATGTGGGTTTGTTTTCTAGGATGAAGAGGGGGGAGTTTCATGCTCGGGATGATAGAGGCTGTTCTCAGTGCATGTACAGACCTGATGCTCGTTTGATTCTCAGACCCATGGACGATTTGGGCATTTTTTGCTGCAGTTTTATAGACGAGGCTCAGATCGGTTGACTAAGCCTAGGTCCTGAGTGGGTGGCAGGTCGACATGCATACCTCATCAGCGGGGAGGGGCCCCCTGCCCACCAGCCCCTCTGCTTCTCTCCTGTCTCCCTTCTTTTGCTTCCTTGGCATGCGTCTTGGGGTCCAGTCCTGGAGGGAGGCGTCAGGAGGCTTCCGGTTTCACACCAGGAGCGAACGGAGGGCTTGCACGCTTTCCTGGGGCTGAGACTCAGGCGCCAAGTTCCTGGTCGCCGCCCTGCGCTCTCTCCAGTGCGGGAGCAGCGTGTGCTGGGCAGCCCACGTCCTCTTGCCCGGGTTGGGGTGAGCCCCACTCCCATGCTCCCTTGCCCTGAGTGGGACTGGTCCCTGTGGAGCAGACCTGGGGGTCCAGGCTGTTCCTGCTGCTCTGGTCGCCCTCGGGTCGGCTATCTCTCCCCTGTCTTGGGTCTTGGCTGCCAGCACTGCTGGGGGGTTGGCGGGCAGCCCAGCCTGGCCTGCTCCTGCTGAGGGTGGGCCCCCTTCCATGGAGACCACCAGCTGGCCTGTGTTCACCTTGGTTTCCTTCTGTCTCATTTTACAGCGTTGTAATTTTCCTTCATAACATTGTATCTGAGATGGAAATTACGTGTCTAGTCAAACTCATGCTGTTCTGTTACACGTGTGTTAAATATTCTTTGTAAAGAGCATGTAACGCCACACTGGTTGGCCATCATCTGACTTCTGACGCGTGGTTCCTCTTCTCCAGTGATCCTGGTCTACTGTGCCGAGTACATCAATGAAGTGGCCGCGATGAACTGGAGGTAACCGTGCCTGGGCATGGTGACTATGTCTGAAACCACGCCCATCAGCTGAAGGACATGCTCAGAGACGTTCAGTTCTCCTTCTGCAAATGCCCTCTCTGTCCCCTGCCTGTGTCTCCGGCTGCTTAACGAGGAGACCTGAGCGGTGGTGGTGCCCATCCTCCCAGCCCACCGCGCTCACACCCCACCTTGAGGTGGAGGTGCTCTTGTGATCCGTCCATTGTTTCCTTAGTCCTGAAAACGCTAGTTCCCTGGTTTCTAGGCCGCTAGCTGGGATCCGCCTTTTTCCCTGCCAGTGCCCTCTCCTCTGGTCCTTTCCTGCTCTGGTCTCCAGACGCCAGCCTGTGTTACCACCTGGGCAGCCCACACCATGTCCAGTAAACATCATAAAGTCATCCTACCCCCCCTCCCCGATCCCCACTCCATCTGCACCTGCCCCAAGCCATCTCTTCTCCTGGGGCGGCTTCTCCTCCTGGCTTCCTAGAACAGACCTGCAGGTGACACAGGAACCCTTGGGTGGTCATGTGGCCTCTGCCTTTGAAACAAGTGGGCAGGGGAGCACAGCCTTTCCCCCGCCATCCCGGCTGCCTGTGGGTGACAAGGCCTGTCCATCAGCATCCTGACCCCACAGGCCTCAGAGTAGAGTCACAGCCCCTGGGCCCTGTTGGGTCCTCAAGCCTGTGTTTAGCCGTCCTTGTGCCCACATGCACATTCTGCAGGCCATCCCTGCTTCCTTTCCTCTGAGTGTGATCAGGACACAGCTTCCCACCACCCCGGTTGTCTGAGCCGCTGCCCTCCAACAGCTCCGAGCGCAGGGCTCCGCCTGCCCGCTGTCCGCCCCTTGGTGCCGTGGCCGGGCTATGGGCGGTGCTTCGTGACTGTCACTGACGTCGTGAGTGGGTTGCCCGAAGACAGCCGTGCCCGGACGTGGTGATCCCCTCCACCTGCTGTGACAGGTGGCCCAGCCGCGGCATTGGGGCAGCTGTCCCTGCGCCTGGAGCGGCTCCTGCCCCTCGTAGCGGCCACAGGGTCTTTACCCCACGGGGTTAGGAAGGGCCACGTCGTGTGCAGGGCATCTGCCCCACCTGTCTGCCTGTGCACACGGGTCCTGTGTCTTCGCTGAGGGGTCCCTGCATCCTCTCCAGACCAGGCAGCGCAGTCCAGGGTCCAGATCCTAAAAGACGTGGGTGGCTCTGGACCTAGGGTGGGCTGTCCTGCCCTCACCGAGGGCCCCCCAAAACGTGTGAGACGAAGAATATACAGTAATGCCGTTTTGTTCCCCCAGGTAACCGTTAATTTCTTCCTTGAAACAGGCTGTTTTCGAAATACCAGTACTTCGACTCGAGGGGCATGTTCGTCTCCTTAGTGTTCTCAGCGCCCTTGCTGCTCAACGCCGCGGTCATTGTGGTACGTGCCAGGCTCCCGGCCTCTGCCGTCTCCGAGGGGCACGCCCCTGTTCTAAGTGCATCTCCCACGGTTCTCTCTAGGTCCTGTGGGTGCGCAAGACCCTGAGCGTGATGACCGAGCTGAGGGGCTTGCGGGAGAGGCGGCGGGAGAGGCTGCGGAAGGAGGAGTGACGACCCGCCGGGCTGCGCCCTGGAGACGTCTTCCTAGGACCGTCCGCTCCTCCAGCAGGCTGTGGTCAGCGTTTAAGACACATTTGACTTCGTGTCCGCCGTGGCGCTCGCCAGGCCTGTGTCTGACCAAGGGGTGTTCAGTCTCTGGTTCAACTGTAAATAAACCATTGCTACCCGGGCACAGTGTTCCTGTGTCTGGTTGTAAAACAGCCAGTCAGTGGGAAGAGGTTGAGTCGTAGACAGTGCAGTCCAGGCAAGGCCCCTCCGTCACCCTGTCATGCTGTGTCACCCCCGTCACCTCCTCACCCGGCCTGGTCCGTGCAGTGTTCGCCTCTCTGCAGCAGCTGCGTGAACCCCTGAGTCATTTCTCAGGCTGGAAAGTTCCAAGTAAGAATAGTCAGTGTTCACCTGCCTCAGCTGACAGTTTACGGCAGATACTAAGGTCAGTCGTGCTCCTGTGTCTCAGCTCTTCTGCTCGCGGGCACTCTGGGCGTTGGTGTCCTTAGAGCAGGTGCACGGTTCCTGTGGTCCCCGTGCCCAGGCCGACTCCTATCGGGGCTGGGGCTGCCGCTGGATGGTGAGAGGCGAGCACAGGCCCACGCTGCTAGAACACAGCGACCCACAGAGAGCACTGTGGCTCCCGATTTGGTTTGAAAAGCAGTTTGTGAATAGTTCTCTTAATTCTAACAAGATTTTTTTTCTCTTAAGTTATATTCTTCGAAATTCAAAAAGAAAAAAAGTGGTTCATATGAAAGCATTTATATTTAGCAGCTCAAAAGGCGACATTTTGGTAGATTATGAAATTAAACGTTGAAATCCAGATACATAATGTTTTTATAGACACTTGTAAACTCTTAGTAGAGAAATTATTTCCTGAAATTTGACCTCAGCTTTAGAAGGGAGCAGATGGAGCTTCCTAGGTATGGGGGTGTTTAACCTGGTATTTTTCCAGCCCCTTTTTGAGGTGTTAAACTTTTAAATTGAGCATTTCTTAAAATGACTTAATAAACAGCCTCCCTTGTGAAGTCAACTTTTGAATTCCTTGTACCTGACAGCAGACTTAGTTACGCATTTCTGAAAATGACCAGTCCAGGATGTTTCATGGTATTGTGGCTTCAGAAGAGTCCACTGTATCACAAGTAATTTCTCAGAGAGCAGGACGGGCTGGCGGGTCACCCATGAGCGGGGTGGTGGGAGGGCTGCGGGCGGGTGGCTGGTGACCAGGGACAGGAAGCCTCGTGGAGACGTCCTGGCCTCGGCCTGGGCCACACAGAGGTCGTGGGGGCCTTTTCATTTCCCACAGTTACTCGGGCTGTAAATCGGGACTGGCTGACTGAATCTCATTTTTCCTGTGAGAATAGTGTGATAATACTGTTAACTTTGCATGAATCAGGTGTTAGGGACTCGATCTAAAGACAAGACCGGGGGCCTTTCCTTCACTGGTGTGGGTAATTTTTTTGGAACAGTTATGTCCTGTTTCATGAACACAAACTTTGTTTTTTAACTGTTTTTAGAAAGTTCATGATCAGTGACTTAAATTACAGTGTTAGCAGATACTTCGCTGTCCTTGCACTCGGGGAAACCCTCCCAGCTGCAGTCGTCCCAGACAGTTACGTGATGTGTCTGGAGTGTGAGCCCTTTAGAGGGTTTGGGGTGCACGAGGCTGCTGTGCTTGGTGGAGCCCTGGGGGAGCAGGCGCCGCTGGAGGCCCCGCGGCAGGCTGCAGGAGAGCGCAGGTTTTGGTGTCTTTATGAACAGGAGGAGAGGACTTTCATGGTGAACGTGTGCTTCGCGTACCCCAGATCCTTGACGCCTCATCCGTTGTGAAGTGAAGTGTGTATGTAACGATACGTGGTATGTTTTTTCTGCACAACTGCACTCAGTTTTGACTCTGTAAACGGAAAGGGGCTCCCAGAGGGCTGGCCGCACCCGTGCTGCTGGGGCCCCTTGATCCAGTGTCTGACACTGGACTTGAGGAAGAGAAACTCGCTTTCCTCGGTGTGGACAGGCGGCACGCGGACCTGAGTGAGTCCCTTACAGTGAGACGTCGTGCTGAGACGTCAGCATCTTCTCACCCCTTAACCAAACGTGCTGTAGAGCTTTAAAAATTAAAAAGTTTGATGGGGAGTCGCAAAAGAATGTGGAGGTGTTTCCCAGGGCTTCGGGGGAGGTAGGTGGTAGCGGGACGCTGGGTGAGGTCGTGTTGCCTGGACCAGGCAGCACGTCTCCACGGAGACCTGGGCTGGGATCGAGCTGTATTCCCTGTCCTCGCAGCCCAGGGCCCCGCCCCTGGGTTTCGCTGCCTCGTGGGTAAAACGTGGTCTCGGGCTTGTACCCTCACGTTCTGAGTTCAGCTGGTGTGTCCTAACCAGGTCTCAGGCTGAGAACCTTTCTTCAGTTTGTGAAAACTCCTGGCTGTTACATTGTGGAGTCAGAGCCTCATTGGAGAGCACACAACACAAGCCAGGGCTGGGCCAGGTCTCCAGTCCACGCATGGGAAGCTGGGCCACGGGGGCAGGCAGCCCACTGACAGCCTCGCAGGGGCCACGCTGAGGCCGCCCGGGCCCCAAGACTCCACACTCGGCCTCACGCGGAGTCGGCCCCAGCCCCGTGACCTGAGACCTGCCTTTGTGCTTCGTTGTTTCTTCTTGTATGATCTCGGGGTATTTGCAGGCACCCATTCACTGCCTCGTTTTTTCCTTAAAGTCTCCTTTCTGTGATCTTCTCAATCCCTTTTGCCGTGGCCATATTTCAGTATGGAACATAATTTTCAGCGACCACTGTGTACAGTGTGGGAGCCGTGCTGTACGGGGGCAAGTTCAGTTCACTGAGCCGGTTCCTGGTGTTGGAGGCGCGGCGCTCTTTAAAATGAACACGATCAACGGAAATCTGCAGCTTCAGAGGCGCTCGTCAGCGTGTCAATTACTGACTCGGAATAAGGTCCAACAAGTGAAGTGAAGTCAAAATCTACTGACATTCCATGGCAGTTGGTGACTTGCTAAGTCAGTTTTCAGAAAACACATGCCAGTGTCAGGGGTACATTATTCCTCAAATCCTTGTCTAAATGGCAGTGTTTTCACAAGGCCTCCAGGGGGCGCTGATGCACCGAGGCCGGCGTCCAGCCGGCGGTCGCCCGCCCGGGAGGCTGGCGTCTTTGATGGAAGCCTGCTGTTCCAGCTAGAGGGAGCCGGTCAGGACTAGTGGGCGTGGTTCCCCTTCTTCACGTGAACCAGGTTGACAGTGCCCAAGTCACGCTGGGTCCCAGATGCACACACACGTGTGCACACGCACGCGGGCAACGGGAGATCGTGGACAGCGCTCACCTGCGGCCGCACGCAGCCTGTTCCTGGTCCCCCTCAGTCCCTTAGCCTGTCTTCTCGTCTCAGGACACCATGTCAGTAGGCGGAGGAAGTCAGGAAAGGGGTGTGAGGGGTGACAGGCTGTTGGTGAGGAGTGTGTCCCCGGCCCAGCAGACCCCCGGGTGGAAAACATGGGAGTTCATTACTCACCCACTGTGGGCGGGGCCCAGGGCCCTGGGAGCAGAGATGAAGGTCTGGCCCTGCGCTGAAGAACTCAGACCACGGAGTCCCTCTCGGTGGTAGGTGTGAGTTGGAAGCTGACGGTCACCTGCCTCATCCCAGGCTCCGACCGCTCGGTCCTGGGAGGTGGGGGGTGGGAGGGGGCCGCCTCACTGGCCTCCCAACCTCCGTGTCTGTTACAGGGCTGGCACTGAGTTTGGCCTGATGAGCCGAGTAAACACGCAGAGTGGTTCCGGCTGAGCCCAAGGCCTGGAGCACCAGGTGGGGACTTCGTCCCTGAGTCTCCAGCTCCTGCGTGACTTAAGTGGGACCAGCCTGCCGTCCGCTTCAGCTGTTCACATGCGTCCTGCCTGACCGTGGACGGTGTATGACGCCCGTGTGGTCACCACTCTAGAGGGAAAGTGATGAGATCACAGGGACGCCTCATCAGAACCTGGGCTCACCTGAGAGCAGGAGTGGCCTGAGGCTTGGTCCCACCAGCCGCTTTTAACCAAGTTCCAGCGAATGGGTGCTTCTGTTCCAAGGTTAACCCTTACGCTTACACTTCAAGGTACACGGTCTAGAAATGCCAGCGTTTTTTCTAGTTTTTATGCAACAAAACTAGAAGAAAGGCCAATAACTGGAACTGAATCTGATGAGTTTGAAGCCACTCGGGGAGGCAGAGTCAGAAGACCTGTGTGTCAGGGTGGGGGTGTATGTTCATCGGAGGATGTCCGTTGGGGTGGGGGCATCCAGGGCTGCAGAGACGGGGAACTGTGAGGTCCGTCGGGGTGAGGGCATCCAACCTGAATCATGATGCAGCAAAACGAGCAGGAATTCGGGGAGCAGAGCACAGACTGACCCCCTGCTCTAGCAGATGAGGGAGGCAGAGTCTGGTCGGGAGTCATGCTCTCGGGCTGCAGAACCAGCAATGCCCTGTCACCTCAGATGCAGAGACTTGAGTTTGTACAACAGGGAAAGGCCAGGTGATTTCTGACAGAAGCTAAAAGAGAAAATAAGACCTGGAATTTTCCCAAGATTCAACTTAAAAAAAAAAATAACAAGGTAGAAGTTTGGTTGTTTGTGTTACAATATAAAGGCTAGAAATCCAGATTTACATGTAAATTGATGGAATTAATCCAAACTGCAATTTCAGGGGAAAGCAATGCTTGTGCCTGAGAACGCGTGGCAGGTTAGCTTGTTTTCTGCTCTTTTTTGCACGTATTGCTTGCTTGTTTTTTAATTGTTTCAGAGTCTTTGTTGAAAACATCACCGTGTTTAAGGAAGTATCTTTATTACTCGGGTGGCTGGCTGGTGCTCTGTCCTTGAGGACGGTCTGTCATTTCTGGAAGATTCTCGGCCTGGCTATGCCACCAGCATTGACCTCACTGCAGCCGCTCCTTGGGGACTGTCCAGAGGGCCCAGGGTAGCTCTGCTCTTGGGGGGAGGGCGTGATAGAAACCCAGATGTGTCTGCTGTGAGCCAGAGGCGATGGGGTGAGGAGCGAATTCTCATCAAGCATGTATTATGCAGCAAGGCCCGAGTGTGGGCCCCCCCGGACCCTGGATAAGGCGGTCCAACCCAGCCGGGGCGCTGGCCGTGTGGCCCTCAGCCCCGGACCCCAGGGGGCTGAGGGGGACCCGCAGAGCTCAGAGCGGGGGCCACTCTGCCACGTCACCAGAGCTGCCCGCGCTGGGGCCTGTTTACCCATCACCAGGGACGCTGGGGCTCTTGGGCATCAGCGCTCCGCCGTTTGTGTCTCCACAGCCAGAATCCCCCCAAGGGACACACACACGCACCTTGCCCCAACCAAGGACGGTCCCCCAGGAGGCAGCTCCCCCAAGCAGGGTGCACCCACCTGGGGAGCCCCTTGCCAGCAGAGGGGAAGCTCCCTCCCTGGACCACGCGGCTGCACTGAGGTCACGGTCGGCATCAAAGCCTTGGGGTTTGCCAGCCCCCGCCCCCCGGGGTCCCTCACTCTCACAGGCGCCTGATGCCCTGGGTCCTACAGCCTCGGCCACCTTGAGTCTCCACACCTGAACTGCAGGCAGGTCTCGAAGCCCTGGCCAGAACATCCGGGGGTCGGACGCGGGCAGCGCAGCCGTGGGAGGTGGGGAGGCCATGGTCTGCGGTGTGTGGTTGCATTCAAACGCCCGGACGCCCCATGGAGGACACGTCTGCACCCCACTGCTTCTCTCCTTGCGTTCCTGAGTGTGAAATGCTTTTCCTCTGAGCTCAACCAGGTGAATGTAGAAAAGCAAGTCAGCTTTTGGAGCCAGGAGCCAGGAATCAGCGTCCCTGCCTGAGGCTGGTTGGCACAGGCCGCTGCCCCCGGGTGAAGCCCAGGTCCTCAGGACCACGCATCAGGAGGGGGAAGAGGCAGAGGCGGGCTGAGGGCTCCCTCCCAGTGGGATGCTGCCCCACGTCCGTAAGAAGGTGGACACGGGCAGAGGAGGTGGTGAGGGGTCTCAGTGGGAGAAGCATCATCAGGGAAGAGCCACGTGAGGGTCCCTGCACTGGGAGTCTGGGCGGGGGGCCCGGCGGCATCAGCTCCAGAGGAGCAACTGCCAAAGCGCTGTCCACCCCGGTGGAGGGTGTGTCAGGCCAGACTGGGTGGACTGAGGCCTGGGATGGCCCCACGAGGCAAAGGGGGCTCCTACCTCTTTCCTGCCATCAGATTGCCACTGTCTTTGCGACCAGCTGTCACGTGGCGCCCTGCCTCCCGGGATGGCTCCCGGGGTCCCTGCCAGCACCTCCTCGGCCACGCAGGGTCCTGGAGGGCATCACAGAGGCCAGACCTCCCCTAAGGCTCCGTCTCGTGTACAGACGGGCTCTTCCCCCGCGGGCCCTGATCTGCACCTCCAGTGTGTTTCTTTGTTCACCGTGTTCTGTATTGTTTTGTATGAGACCCTTTAATAGACCGCAAAGCTTTTCTTTCCACGTGTAGGAGAAATCTCACTGTCAAAGGCTCGTGAGGAGAAGCTCGGGACACTGGGGCTGTAGGGATCTGGGGCCCTGGCGTTGCCTCCTCCTGTTCTCATCCAGCTTGGATCCAAGTCCCTGGGGATTCCCGCAGGCCTAGCGCGCGGCGGGCCCCAAAGTGCTTTTTGGAACTGAGGAAGGTGTTTCTTCTTTAGTTTAACCCTAGTTTCTGTGGGTGCTGGCTGGCGGGTTTGCTGTTGGGAGCAGTTTGAAGGGAGTGGAACCGGCGCACAGGTCCCTCTGTACCAGATGGAGAGGTGGTGGGGCCTCTGAGACACCAAACCTCCCGTCAGCGAGCAAAGTGTAACGGGCGGTAATTCTGGGCTCTGCAGACTCCCTTCGTCTCGTTCCCAGGGAGGGCGGTGAGGGGCGTTCCACCGCAGACTCTCGAAGGGAAAACAGGCCGAGAGTTCAGTTTGTCAAGTCCCTTTAAAACCGCTGCCTGTTGAGCAGCCTGAACACACGGTCACGTGGCGTTAATGCAGAGCATTGCAGCTCGTGATTGACCGGACTTTACTGCAAAGGCCGACAACGCCCACCCCTGTGTTGCAAGTATTTTAGAATCCATTCCAGAAGCTCACTCCCCAGATTCTGGGCAGGGCTGCTGCTGATTCCATTGCATCCACTCGAGTAAACAGAAGAGGCTGAACACTTGGTGAGTTTCCCACGATCTGGTGTCACACACACCCCACAATGGAGGCTTGTAGCAGGAAGATCTGGTGATAAGCAGTGTTGGGAAGCTGACTGCCCGGCGGTCTCTGCAGGCAGGTCCCAGAGGACGCAGACTTCCTGGGAGCTCGCCGTCCGGAGCTCCACCAGCCCCGAGCAGAGGCATATGCCCCTGCTGCCCCGCGTGTGGGCACGAGCGGACGACGCCGGCAGCAGTGCTCGGCCGTCAGGGCAGGGGTCCCGGCCCCGGGATGGACATTGCTTCCCTGGACAGTCTAGCGGCCGTGCTCATAGGTGGAGGAGGCCCCCTTCCCTCCTGTCCACACAGGGTGGGGACAGTGGACACAGCCCAGCCCAGTGGCTGCAGGGACCAACACGAAGACCGTTAGTGTCAGCCCTGCCCTTGTTCCGACCTTGACGCTGAGCAGTGTGTCTGCCCGCCTTCCAGTCCCCCTGCTGCCCACACTGTCCTGAAGCCAGGCCATCACTCCCAGGTGACTTTGCCTGGAATCTGAGAAGGCCCTACAGCTCCCATGCCGTGCACAGAGCTGCATTTTAACCGCCCTCCCCACTGCCCAAGCCCTCGTGTCAGCCTGGGAAAGGGCATGGGGGCCACGCTGTGCCTCGGGGTCCTCCAGGGTCCTCGTGGCCTTACCGTGTTTCCACCTCCTTCCACGCACTCCCCTACCCCTGCCACCGCTCCCAGGTCATCACAGCTGTTTCTCCTTCAGACTGGCTTTTGGACCAGCTGTCGAGGGCTCTGTGCTTCTGATTTTTAGAGAACATTCTGTCCTTTGATGAGAGTGAAATTTCACTCATTGTCAACCCAGTTATTCCCTCACCCCACCCCACCCCCCACCAAGCTAGCATCCTTCAGGGACGGTCCTGGTGCTCAGGCCCCGAGAGCTTCCTTCCTGCTGAGTGTGGGCTGGGCTCAGGGGCTTCCAACAACTGGCACAGAACGACAGGGCCACCTCACCATTGGGATGTGACCGTTTCTGCCCGTTTCCGGCTCTGGTGGAGCAAGCCGCCAGGCTGGAGAGGCCAGAGCTGCAGGAGGCCTTCGGTGAGGAACTGAGTCCCGCCAGCGACGCCTGGGATGACCGCCGCCTGCAGTCCGGCCGATGGGGGCTGTGGCTGGGGACCCACGGGCCGGCCCTCAACCCTGCTGTGAGTCTGGACGTGCACCGGGCAGACGCGGGCAATCAGGGCCCCTAAAGAGACGGTCCTGCAGACCCCACGACAGTGGCCGCATGGAGGTCTCGCAGGGCGGGCACGGTGGGAAGAGACAGACATGCTCTGATTTGACAACCTGGTTCCGTGTCTCAGCTCTGCTTTTTTGAGTTTTGGTAAAACACTCAACCTCTCTGAGCCTCAGTTTCAGTGGGAAGAAGGGATGTTTTGACAAAAATTAGAGGAAATCATGGAAAACATGACACTTTACCTGGGGTCTGGCATGCGGACGTTACTGAACAAATGGTAGCACACGGCGTTTGGTTTCACCCATCCCTTTAAGTGCTTGCGTATCATCTAAGCAGATGACTTCCCTGAGGGCACAAACGAGGTCATACAAGACAAATCAGATAATAGAACACGGCAGTAGTTATTCCAGGACCCAGGGCTGTGTCGTTGCTTCTGTGTCCTCCCCACAGCGCCTGCAGTCCTGGCCGTGAGTATTTACTGAAGAACTAACATGAGTCTTCCAATTTGTTTTCTGGGAAAGTCCTATGGAAGCATGAAGTCTGCAGGGGAGAAAAAAAATAAGATATTTGCCCTGAACTGTAAATGCAAAAGGGTATTTTAGCAAATGCAATGGCATGAAAATTGGAAAAAGCGATCTTCTTTCTGCCAGAACAGATGTGCCTGGCGCGCAGCCCACGTTTCGGGAACACAAGATGACGGCGGCATTGATTGCTGACACAATCGTGTGGTTTCTGAGAGCTCAGGATTGCACCTAAAGGTATGTGTTGCTCCAACTGTCTGCAGGTGTGTCATACTTAATTCATTAAAGATGCATTTCAGAGTCATCTTGAAAATATTACCTCACTGATACGAGCCAAGTGTTGTCGGGAAGTGTGCCCTGCACGGTCCTGACCCACCTGGTCAGTGAAACCCAGTGTCCCCTGTGGCCTCCGCAGCTTCCAGGAGACGCGGGCAGACTGGCACTTGGGGGAAGCACCGCCGTCAGCTCACCTGGGAACTCCGACGTCCGAAGTGCCTTGGCCCCTGCTCAGCTCAAAGGCCCTCTTTTTTTTTTCTCTTTTTGCCAAATCTGTATTAGAAAAGAATGACCGCAGTTGCAGTTTTAAATCTTCATGTATAGATACATGGGCATTTTGTTCTGTTTGGCTATATTTTTCATATAGAGAAAAATATTCCTAATACTTGAACCTGAATTGCGTTTTGGTGCAACTGAAGGATGAAACGGCAGGCCGACAAGGGAATTTCACTTTTTCAAACTTAACTCTTTCCTGGGACTAACGTGAGCAGCGGGAGGTCACTCAGGAAGCAGTGACTTCTTTGCAAAAGGATAAAGCAGTCATTCTAAGAAACTAGAAGGCCGTATCTGCGAAACATCTTGCACAGAACTGTCTCCTGCACTTTCAGGCTATAGCTCAAGTCTGCTCTACAAGTAGAAGTGTCTCAGGGTTTTAGAAATTGTGAGTAAGATGCAAACACCGTTGGGATCTGAAGCACTGGGAATTGTGAGTAGCCATTCCCGCGCAGCGTGGGTTTGCTTCGCAGGAATGCTGCCAGCTTTACGGCCCAGGAAGCCTCCTCGGCTCCCTGAGCAGGTCTTCCTGAAAGTCAGGCTCTTCAGCCCCCTCCCCTGTGTTGCTCTGGGTGTCTGGGAGGGTGGCCCACACCCTCAGCCCCGCAGGTCAGGCTGTGCTGTCGCTGTGCCAACAGCATGCCCCGAGTGTCACCGCCTTCACTCGAGGAGCCCGTTTCCCCCGGCGGGAGGCCGTCCCAGGCTCCACGTCTGAAGCGGAGGGATGCGCACGTCTGGCAAGTTTCAGGGACGGGCCTGGTGTGGACGCTGCTGTGTCCTCCGGTCGAAGACTTGGGAAACACAACCGTGCTTACAGACGCTTGTAAACCGAGCCAGGTGTTTCTTGGCAAATTGTATGTATAAAATATACATGTGTTAGTGTACTTAATCAAAAATACACAAATTCATACACAGATAATGGCCAAAACGTTCCAGTAATAATTATCTTTAAAACTGCAAGGACCTGGTGTAATACTGTGATGTTGTGATTTATAATGAGAAATATGCATTTGGTCTGAGTCCCAGCCGACCTCTGACCCCCCAGGAGGGGAGCAGGGCGGGAGGCGGAGTTCAGTCACCACCCACGTTGGATGTGAAGGCCCCACAGGGACAGGAGCCCTGACCTGTTGGTCAGAAGCACAGGTGATGTCCTGGCCACCCAGGTGACAACTGAAGCGGGGGTGGAGGGGCTCTCATAGGACACAGCCCTTAACCCGCGTGGGGTCTGGCGCCATCTCCACGCGGACAGTGTCAGAACTGAGTTGAATGGGACACACGCAGCCGGCATCGAGAATCACTTGGTGGTGAGGAAAATCCGCAGCCCCTGGGATTTGGTGTCAGAATTGGAAAAGTAGGTTAACTCTGTACCATTTCCTTTAGTTCTTTGTGCATTCACTCTGTATCGCCATTGTGTGGTTTCTGGGGGCAGAACACGAGAAACCGCGGGCCCAGAAGGAGACCAGAGCAGGTGGTGTCACCGTCTTCAGTGAGCTGGGCACGAGGCTACCATCCAGAGCACAGCGGGAAAGAGGACAGCTTGTCTTTCTGGGGAAACAGAAGAGGGCCAGTGCGCGAGCATGTTAATGAGAAGAGGTCTGGTGGTGTGAGAGGACAGTTCATTGAGCTGTTCTGCCAGTTTCATCACAGCAACTGCTGTGACTCCTATCAGCACGTTTTTGGTAACACCTAGAGTAGCGTGACTGTCGGTCATCTTTGATTATCGACAACAAGGGAGCCCAGACTTGGTGACCCAAGTGCTCTCGGAATGAAACCCAGCCAATCCACGAATCCAAACACAGCGCTCACTGCTGGGTGTTGATACACGTCGACTCCTGTTTCTCCAAAGCCAGGTGAGGAAAGACATACTTGAACTCACTTTCATATGAACCACACACAGAAGTAAACTGCTGTCTGGCCCCATAATGGAAGGCGACGGGGGAGCTGTGACTTGCCCCCAGGGGCACAGCCGCCGGCTTACCGGGCAGGGAGTTGGCCCTGAGGCGGCCAGCGCGTTTCCACAGGCCGGCTCTGCCCCGCGGTTCCCAGTCCGTAAACCCTCCACCTGCCTTGTTTGGTGCTTCGTGCAGAAGCTGTACCCCGCCTGCACCCACAGGGCCTTGCTGTGTGACTTCACAGCCCCGTGTGCACACAGCCTGCTCACTGGCTCCGTCCTCAGTTGCAGAGAGCCGCTCGTGCCCGGGGTCAGCAGGTTTCAGCGTCCGTCTGCAGTGCTTCCCACGAGCCCCACATCTGCTCCGGGGCCGTCGGATGCCCCTCACCCTCGAGTCACAGCCTACATCCTTCCTCTCCAGGAGGGGTCTGCAAGGCGCACCCACATCAGGGTCTGCCTCTGCTCACTTGGGTCCAGGGAGTCAGAAGTCGAGTCTGGAGGAAGAGGTGTTTCAAAGCCTAGTTCCATTTTTGTGATAATCTTTAACTTTGGCAGTTTGAAAGGCCTATCTTGTAGTGATACTTAATAATTGATAGAATTAAAGAAATTTAGTCTTTTAGGCAAACAGTTCTCAAATTAATTAATTTGGGTGATTTCCCCACTTTTAAAGGGTGGGCACATCACCCAGATTTGAGAAATGCTGACTTCCAGACTCAGCCTGTGTCCTGGACAGGCCGCGTCTCGGCTCCTCTGACCAGGCCCTGAGTGGTCAGTTCTGCCCCAGCCCCGCTGGCCCCCAGCTCAGCTCAGCTCTCTCCCCGTCTGAAAACTCTTCCCCAGTGACAGCTATGGACGTGAAGCGATGACCGTGGAGACGCTGGGAGCCCCCGCCTGCCGCCCTGTGCGTCCTGATGATACTGCCTGACAGACTGTGTTCCGAGAAAGTGACTCCTCCTTTCCAGGCGACCTCCCTGGCTCAGGGAGGTCCGGGCAAACGCTGAAAGGGCTGGGAAACCAGACCCAGGACAGCACCTGCTGTTGCTGTGGGTGGGCTGGGGAGGGCTGCACTTCCGAAACCTTCTCCCCGGCATGCTCACAGACGTTCCCACGTTTGGTCTCAGAGTCCAGCAGGCTGCCTGGATGCTCGGCTGTGGAATGGATGGGGGACTGCAGGTGAGAAGGCGGCTGCACGACTCGCCCCTGGAGCTCAGACGGACGACAGGAGAAACTCTCTGGGGACTCCCCATGTTGCCATGGGTGGGTTGGGGGCCTGTTTCACCCTGAGACCCCCTGGTGCTCAGATGTTGCTGAGGCCCATGGAGGGGCTCTCTTGAGGGAGGCGTTTCCTGCAGGACCTGGCACGGCCGTCAGGAACCCCCCCCACAAGCCACGCAGCCCGCCCCCTCGGAAGGGAGGCCCAGGACAGCGCTCTGCAGCTGTCTCTCCTTCCTTCCTTTGCTGTCTTACCTGGAACCACACCACCTGTCTGTGCCCTGTGTCCCTTCCAGGTGAGTGTCGGGAACGAGGCTGGGGCGAGACTCTAAAGTAGACGTCCGGCACCTGCCCCTGTGTTTCTCCTTTCAGTGAGTAACAGGCCTCAGACGTGGTGCTTCCCTCCTGGGGGAGGAGAGCAGGGCTGGCAGCTGTTCCGAGCGGAGGCGGCAGGGGGCACCAGCGCCTTTCTGAACACCACGCTGGTCCCACCGCCTCCAGACACGTGGACCTCGGTTTCCTGCGCCCCAGCCTGAGGCCTTCCGTGACTTCTTCGGTGTTTTCTCTGTAAAACTCTCCCACCCCGTCTTCCACGCCCTCCCGTCACCTGCAGCTCTGTCACCGGTTCCCAGTCTGGTCCCCGCCACACACCCGTCTATCCATCCATTTATCCCCTCCTCTGTCAATTTGTTGGTCCCCCAGGTCAGACCCACAGGGCTCCTCCCTCTGCGCGCTGGTACCAACGCCCCAAACACCTGCTTGGCCGTCCCACCTTCAAGTCTTGGTTGTGGAGTTTCCTGCAGATGAAGGACACTCCTCTCCTTCCTGCACCTGAGTTGAACTTGGCCTGAAGGCTTAGCTGACTCCCACCCGCTGGCTGCCCACCCCACCCCGACCCCGGTGTGGACCCCCAACCTGGTGAGGAACTCCCGTGGGGCTCAAGTGCGGAGTCTAAGGTGGAGGTGCTTGATTTAGCCAAACCTGATGCTCCCTCCATCCACGGGGCAGCCAGCCCCTCCCAGGGCTGCACCTGCAGACACCTCAGAATTGGGGAGAGTCCCAGAGCGGGGCGTTTCCTGAGAGACCCCCTCTGGGAGCCCGACATCCCGGATTCCCGCCCAACCAGGCCTGTGTCACAGCAGAGTCGGGGGCGTCCGCCCGTCCCCTGCACCCACTTCCCAGAGCACCTGCACTGGTGCTGCTCACCGTGGGCACGGCCGTGACCCTCTCCTCCAGCTCCCCCACCAGGGGCCACAGGACACTGGGACCCTGGGGCGCCATGCTCACCTCACATCCTGAATAAACAAGTCAGCCTTTCCTAGAACAACACGAGCAGACATTCCTGTTTCTCACATTCTTCATTCTAACAAGACAGTTAATCCATTGATCGGTGAGACCCTCCCTTTAACCCCAACTCTAACTTTAGTTGTGAAAACACCCCATGAAGCTGAGAGTTTTGAAGACCAGTCGCGGCTGCTGGGGAAAGTACAGATTCCTTGGTTTTCCTGCTAAACACACGTGTACAGATGGCGTGATGCTCACAGTACTGCACAATCACGCTTACAGGCGTGAAGGCCAAATCAGTGGTTCATGTGAGGTTGTATCTCTTTAAACCTCTTTTAAATGGAGGGACTGGGGATTGAACCCAGGACCTCGTGCATGCTAAGGACACGCTCTGCCTCTGAGCTATGTCTTCCCCAAGTGCCTTAGTTTTATGAAGCAAAATGTATTCAACTACAGCTAAAATTATCACTTTAAATAGTAACCTAAAGATGCCATTTGAGAATAGGGTTATGAAGCTCTTTTTATTCACAAAATAAGGAAAGCCAATTTCATAGTGTAAGAGAGATTTTAGTCATTGTGAAGTAACATGTAAATATAGTTTGACTTTTAAAAATCCAGTTCAGCAGCAGTAACACATTTAATGTGTCAATGACAGATATTTAAGAGAGCAGATTTACAGTGTCAGTAATACAGACAGAACTGACATAAAGTGTAATGTTTCATGAAATTCTCACCCAAATAGGTGCCCTCAGCCCTTTGCAGTTCTCATCTAAACACTGAGTGTGTGGTGTGCATTTCGTTCTTGTGGTGAATGTTCAGGACAGACCAGTCGCCATCCCACCTCACTCAGGACACCAGACGGGCCCCCTCGGGAGGGGCAGTGGAAGGAGCAGGGCGTGGCTGGCTCGGCCCCAGCGTAGGCGCCTCCCAGGAAGGGAAGCTGGCAGAACACCTCGGCTAAGATTCACCTTTGAACTCCGGCATTTGCCGCAGGAAATGAAGAAATGTGGAAATACGTGTAAATACAAGTACGTGTGTACACGTGCCCTCCTGTGTCCAGTCAAATGGCTCCCTCCCCCAGTCCTGGGGGCTGGCCTCACATCCACCCCCGGCCTTCTAACCTCTGATGCCCATGGCTGGTCCGCAGCCCCAGACAGGACGCCACCCCGGCTCAGCTTGAGGTCCTGAGTGACTGCACCTCCGGTTAGTTCTGGGGGCGCCCTTCCACGCCTGGGGATATGACCAGCAAAGCCCCTTTGAAGGTGGCATTGGTAACCTGGCTGACCACAGAGCAGGGTCCCGCAGCCCAGAGGGGTGACAGGGCAGGCCGGGCTGTGCCTCGGGCTGTGGGCCCCAGCCCTCACACCCAGACGGCTCAGTGATGCCCTTTGCCTGGTTCTCATCTTTCTACTGACGCATTGATGTGACTCATATAGAGCCTTCAAGACTACTAGTCGTTTTGTAAGTAGATCTTAAACCACCCATCTGATTAGTTTAATGGCATAAACATTTACATATATGTATTTTTGATGACTGCTGGGAATTTATTGTCTACTTGGTGCAAGGCACAGGGTTATGAGGTGCCAGCAAGGCTCTCGTGTGGCTTGGATAGTAAAGAGTGGGGTTCTCTCAACTTTCTTTTTGGCGTTTTGCTGTTTTGATATTAAAGAACCCAACTGTTTCTGTTGGCCGAAGCCTGCTTAGTCTCGGGGAGGGGAGGGGAGGGAAGAGAAGGGGGCGGGCTCCTGTGGGCCTAGAGCCTTGGAAGGGAGCCTGGCAGCTGGTGGCGGCCACTCAGGACGGGGGCCTGCTGTTCGTTTTGCCAGGCTGGCCACCAGGCCGCTGCTTCGCCCCGGCCTCCCGAGCCAGGGCACCGGTGATCGTGCTGGTGGAGGTCTGGGTGATTCCAAGTGCCCTGGGAGCTCCAGCACTGTGGCCCTGAGTGGGAGAGTGGGCTTCCCGAGAAGGCAGCTAGCCCACCAGTGTGCCGGGCCGGCTCTGGGGAGACCGAGTGTTGGGGGCTGGCTTCCCCGGGTGCTCCGCACTCCCGCAGGAGCTGGTCTTGGAAGTGGGGCTGGGCAGGCCCAGGTGGAGTCGGGGGTGGCCCCGAGGGAGCCGCAGGCTGGGGTGGCTGCCATGCTTTTGCTTGTGGGCTGTTAGAAAGCTAGGCGGCCACCCCTCACGGGCCTTGGTGCACAATCACAGGTGGCGGGGACGGGGACGCTAGACCACGGAGCCCATTTGCAGAGGTGACCACGAGTGACAGCTCCATGACCCAGACGCGTGGGGCCTACTTATAGTCTTAAATTATTATTTTTCAGCCCTTAAAAAACCCTCTAGTTTGAGTACCTATGACTATAAATTGCCCTCTGTGTACTGTTTAGCTGTTTTCCAAAGATTTAATATGTGGTATTTTTGTTATTATTTATCTATACATATTTTTAAAATTTCTTTGATATGCTTTTCCTCTATGAGTAATATGTGTTGAAGTATTTAATTTACTTTACAAATGCTGTTTATGCTGTTATATGTTAAAATAACAGTTTACTTCTAATTTCTAACAGTATTACTGTGGTCAGAAAAGTTTTATGTCTTACACTGAGTTTTTGTAGTGATTTCAACTTGTTTTATGGCCTGATATGTGGTTAGCTCTGGAATGTTCCACGTGTGCTTCAGAACGTCTCCAAAACTTGACAGTGAGTTTTTGTGTGTATTAAGTCAGGACTGTTCATTTTGTTACTTAAATTATCTGTAGCAAAATATAAACACAACACATACACATACAACAACAACAACAAAACAATGTATCAAGACTAATTTAGGGTGATCCCAGAAAGGAGTAGATGGTTTTAACATTACAAACATATGACTGTGTGAAAATTGCTATCAGACTAAATAAAAACCATATGATCTCCTTAATAGATGGAGAAAGAACAGCATCTGAACAAAGTATACACCCATTTATGATTTTCTAAAATAACTCTTAGCAAATCAAAAGGACTAAACACCAGAAAACTAATGAAGGTTATTTACCAGAAAATAGAGCAAACATTATAGCTGATTAGAAGAGAGACAGAGATGGCCGCTGACAGCATTTCTACTCGGCAGCGTGCTGTAGGTAGTGTCCCTCTTAGATAATAGTCCAAGACAAATAGAAGAGGCAAAGATTCAAAAAATAAATTGTTACTATTTGAAGATGATATGTTTGTTTGCTCAGTAAAACCAAGAGTCTACAGAGAAGAAAATTAGCACTTCTTGAAAAAGATGAAAGAAAAATCAAGGGATTCACTTATGATATTCATGGATAGAAACACCTATTATGAGAAAGATGCCTTCTGTCCCTAATGAATCTGTACGTTCTCTGTGGTTCTAATAAAAATCCCAGTAGGGTTTTACATGGGCTTTGAAAATGGCCCTTAAATTTTATGTAAACAAGAGAATTCTGAAACCAAAATTGGCATGGCTACTTTTCCTACTAAGTGTCAAGATGTGTTAGAAAGGTGTGGTGAGCGATACGGCCCACAGAGAATTAGCTGCTACAGCATGGAGAAGTGCTGTAAGACAGTGCAAAATGCCGAGCCCGGTTGCTACAACGGGCAGAAGATAGCACACTTGTGCACAGATAAATACCCAGTGATAACGATACTGAAGCAGGGGGCACTAGTAGTCAGGGTGGTGCACAGTAGAACTCCAGCAAGATGCCAGCCCAGAATCGCCACGCTCTGGTCAGTGTCTGGAGCCATGTGGGACCATGAATGGATGCACAGAGTGTCAATGTCTCTGCCACCCAAGACACCGGTGAACAGCAGTGAGCGTGCGGCAGATTTGCACGTGCAGCGTTCCCCGCTGTCTGCGCTTCAAGGAACCTATCAGGCATATCCCAAGGAGACACATAGTCATCCTCTTGGCTGCATTATTTGTAGAAGAGAAACTCTGGAAGTGTCAGTGACCATTACAAGAATGGAAAAATCTATCGCATTATATCCTTCGCAGAGAGCAGTAATATTTCATTATCATTAGATAGTAGTTTTTCTTAAAGAAAGTTATCCTAACTGAATTCTTCCAGATTTCAAGATATCAAATTATTGTAATTCAAAATTCCACTCCTAATAAAAGTATTTGTTTTATGCATTTTCCTGTTAGATAAATTGATGTTTTTTTCCTTTTCTTCTCTCCCCCCACCCCGCACACAGATGTGCGTGCACACACACACACACACACACTCTACAGTTATAAATGAAGTGAAGGTATCCCCTGTGCTTTAATTTTCCTGGAATCCAAGCAAACCAAACCAAACCAATATTCCTAACCATGCGGCGTCTGACGTGAGAAGATCTAGCACTAAAACACAGGTGGCCACTTGCAGTAAGGGGCAAGGGGCTTTTTAATCAGTTTTTGTGGCCCTGGAGCTGCGGGCGGTGCCCAGACTTGTAAACAGTGACTCAAGAAGTGTGCGTGTAGGCTGTCTCCGCGGGCGGGGACGTGGGTGTCCCCATGAGCCCTACCCGGTGGTCCCCCAGCGCCATCAGCTGCGTCCTCCACCACAAGGGCGTTCTCCGTTCTCCACTGCACAAAGGTAAAGCCCTTCACGTAAGTGCCAGGAACGACACGCTGATTCGTCTCCCGACTTCCACACTTCAGCCGTCATCTCTCCTCAGTTTTCTTTTAAGCAACACACATACTTCTCTCTTTTCAAGTCTTTTCAGTTTTCTACTGGGCTTATCTGTGTTTATTCTCTAATCAGGGTTTCTCTACACCTTACTTTTAATGTAGTTCTTTTCTAAAACATCGCTTTTCTCGGTGTTTTTGCCACGTCTGAATCTGGGGGCTGCTCCTGAAACGTGAAGTACTTTAGTGCACTTCACGTGATAAGTGTATCACTGTATGAATTACTCTCCTAATACTCAGGTGCTTATTTTCAGAAAAGCATCCAGCATGGTTCGACGATAAACATTGTTTTAATCATTAGCATAAACGTTACTTCCCATGGTCGCGGTCAGGCGTGTTATGTTCAGCGGCTGGCGGGACTGTCTTCCCAGGAGACGGAAAGCCCCAGGGGTGCAAGCCCCTGGGTCTGGTTCCCTGAGCACAGAATTCCCACTGGTGCCTCGCAGGGAGACGGGCGCTCCCGGACTTGTTCACAGCAGTTAAAGTCACCTCCTCCAACTGCGTGATCAGCGTGGACCCACTGCACAAGAGCCACTGAACCAAAAAACAAACCAGCAGAGGCCCGCACAGCAGACAGCAGCCCCGTGTTACTCGGGGCCCGTGTGTGTAACAGGCACACGGGGAGGCCGGCCCAGCCTGAGGACGGGGCTCCTGCGGGGGCGCCGGTGGCAGGATGGGGCCCCGTGTATGCCGTTCCTCCTCTTGTGTGCTGGGGCCGCGTGCGGTGGGTGAGGGACGCCGC